AGCGTCCATCTGTGGGGCCTGGCCAACAGAGCCTGAGACTTCGCTTTGTAACTCATCCCCTAATTTATTTAATATAAAATCATCTGAGGGGCGGCATGTCAGAAAGTTCACTAAGAGGCGCCCTAAAGGAGCCGTCTGTATATTGTTGCCTGACTGTTTGCTTAATTGTGGCCATGGTGTCCTGCACAGACACATAGACAGTCGGACTCGGAGAAGTTCGCAAAGTGTGGTCCAGCAAGGGGTAGTCGGCACTCCTAGTTCTAGATTCAGCCATCCCAGGTGACCGGCTGATCACTAACCTAGGCCGTGTCGTGTGCTTTTGAGAAACCATTTTCAAAAAGGAAAGAAACAAAGTAAAAGTACGAGAGAGAAGCAGGCGGTTACCTTTGGTTTAAGAGTGCTGAAGACGCTTGAAAAGGTCTTGAACTGCTGTAAAAACAGGCGGTCAGGGACAAGCACCAGTCGTTTCTCTCATGAATGACAAGATCTTTCCTAAAAAGTCCAGAGATTCTATGTTTGAAAATCTTGAGAAGGTGTGAAAATGATTGGGGCGCCACCCTTATATAGAAGGGTAAGAATTTCAAGGAGCACCCCTGAAATTTCAAGGAGCACCCCTAAAATTCAAAATACGTGTCACTCAGTGAAGAGTCCAAAGTGGACCAATCAGGGCACGACACGTGGCAGACAGATATCCAACTAGGAATGGCTGCGTTCAAAGCCCAAACTCCTAGGCAGCCCAATCAGTCCTAGGTTTCCATAACCTAGGACTGGGCACGTACTTCGAGACCCTATAAAAGGGAGATGCTCCCACATGGGGAACAACATTCACAAACATTCAGTGAGAGCATTAATTGCAGAGTTAAACACACTTGAGAGTTTACACTCGGATATTGAGGCTGTTTGTTATAGCCGGATGATCATTTCTTTCCTAAGAGGAACCTGATCCCATTTATATTCTGTACTTTTTACATCCGAACACGTTCTAACTTGATTGTCGGAGGCGGAGATCCCACCAACCGGAGTCTCCGTTGTTTTGTAGGTACAAGCGCTCGTAATCTAGTCTTGAAATTGTAACTTCCCCGTAGGACATAGAAAACCCTGAAACACCTTATTTCCCTATGAAAGTAGTAATGCCTTGCTTTGGCATAGCCCATTACTATTCTTAATAGTTCTGTAAGTGTCATTTTGGAATGGCAATTTTAACTCAATATTCTTTGGGACTTAGGGTTTCTATGTTGGTTTATTTAAGTGAACTAAATTAATCATCCAACGTTAGAAATCCTAAACATGCATCTAATATCACAATTATATATAATGAAAATATATAAAAAGATAATTAAAGACGCATGGCAAACTAGCATGACCCCTTGAAACTCGAAGCATCCAATCTTCAAGGTCACCATTGCATCTTTTGGCTTCATCTTCTTAGAAACGCCGTCTTTAGACTTCACCATCAAATATGCAACTACTAGTAACTAGGACTAATCTAAATAATCTAAGTACAAAAACTTAACGGAACGTAGTCCGTATTTAAATTTACAAAAATAAAAAACGGAACGCAGACCGTATTTACTATCTTAGTGGGGCCATACTAGTTGCCCTTTTGTAAAAACCTGAATAAGAACATTTATAATATTCCATTCACCCATTCACTTCTAAAGTGAATTGCCCATGCAATTTTACCAATAACACAAGCAACAATACAAAACATTGTATCAAATGAGCACGTACTAGTTACTAACTTAGGTGGTTAATCCGTTTAACATGCCTAATTAAAACTAGTCAAGTGTTTATCCAATTATGTGTACTAACGCAATGAAGAAAAGCACAATTAAGGCTTAATTAAGCTCAAAACCGATTAATGAAGCTCCCACTAAATTCCACATCCAACTTAATTAAATTAATCCAATTAATTAATAATTAAACCGAGCAAGTACAATTTTGTGGCCTAGCCTCGTTTTAAATAAAATCGCAAAATAAAACAAGGAAACATTAAGGATAGAACAAAACTGGGCCCTTAGCTCCCACTTAAAAATGGGTGCTTCTAGGTTGCGAGGCCTAGCAGCCATGCTAAGGCCATGGGCTGACGTTGCCTAGCAACCCTAGTTGTTCGCACGCACGCAAGTGCTGGGCCTTGCGTGCCGAGCTGCTGCTAGGCGCTGCTGCTGCTGGCTTGCCACGCCATGCTGCCATCCCCGCATGCCCTCCGCACCAAGTGTGCTTGCAGCCACACATACACGCACACACATGCACACACCTGGCTCGGCAACAACATGGCGGGCTACGCAAGCAGTCCTGCAAGCCGAGCCTTAGTGCTCGAAGCATGAAGGTTTTATTTTGCATTTTGTGCTTCGGGATTTTACTCCAATTTTTGTGTGACTCTAAGTTAATTCCAAATTGAATTTTAGAACTAACATTTGAGCAATTTTGAAATTAAAACAAGTCTAACTTAAATTAATCCAATTTTAGTGCACAAACCAAAATTAATTCAAGAACTACTTTTTAAAAAAATTTGGCTCAACTTGATGCAATAAAATTGAGGGCTTGTCTCATAATTAATTTAACCAAAAAATTAAAATTAATAATGAGATTTGAAAAAATTAGTTGAATAAATATTCAATCATCCAATGAAATAATTTATCCAACAATTATTCATGCATATTTGAACGTTAACATTCTTCCAATAATAAGATTAATATTTCAAGCACAAGTATGAACATTCATGATTTTAATCAACTTCCAAAATGATTAAAACTCAAAATTTGTCAACTTTGGATTTTAGCAAGTTAAGATTCAACCATTTAAACCATTAAAGATTGAATCTTTAACTATTTTTAAGGGTTCAAAAATCATTTTCAACATAAACTTACACATTACAAGCAATCAAATTGCAAGAATGAATAATTCCAAGTTTATGTAAAATTAAGAGCTATCCAAATTAAGCAACCAATTTACATTATAAACCTGCTTAATAAGGAATGATATTGTAGAAGATTAATGGTATAATCAAACACATAATCCAATAATTGCATGTCATAATTAATCAAGGTAAATTTTTCGTTCCAAACGAAAAACCCATCATAAAACCACTTTCTAGGAAGATTTTGGCTTTTGGAAGGGCAATTTTTAATCACTTTGTGGGTAAAGGTGAAAGTGCATCCTAAAACTTAGTAAAATGCTCCTTTCATGTGATTTCAAGCCTTAGCCATCTAAAACTATATAATATTGACAATTTATGAGAAAGAATGAGTTCATTTGATGATAAGAAATGTAGAAAATAGGCAAAGTAGAAGTAATATAGGCCTTATTTGGGCCATTTTGGATGAAAATGCGTCTTAAAACTAGTTAAATCCTCTTTTCATCTGATTTCAAGCCTTAGCCACCTAAAACTATGTAATATTGAAATGTTATGAGAAAGAATGAGTTCATTTTATAGGAAATGTAGAAAATAGGCAAAGTAGAAGTCATATAGGCCTTACTTGGTTGAATATGCATGAAAATGCGTCCCAAAATTTAGTAAAATGCTCCTTTCATGTGATTTCAAGTCTTAGACACCTAAAACTATGGTAATTTTTTATGAGAAAAAATGAATTCATTTGATGAGAAATGTAGAAAATAGGCAAAAAAGAAGTCATATAGGCCTTATTTGGGCCATTTTTGCCCAAGTGAACTTGTAAATGGATAAATTTGACTCCTAATTGCTTGTTTATAGTTACCAACAATATAAACATGGTATATGTGCTTAGTATAAATCATTGGATTGAAGTTTAGAAAGAAAATAACAACTTTGGGAAGGTGAGTAGCTATTACATGCCATTTTAGGTCATTTTTGCCCAAGTGAACTTGTAATTGCCTGAATTTGACTCCTAGTTGCTTGTATATAGTTATCAACAATACAAACATGGTATATAAGCTTAGTATAAGTCATTGGATTGAAATTTAGAGTAAAAGAACAAGTTTGGGAGCATTAGTAGCTATTACATGTCATTTAAGGCCATTTTTAAACTTTTGTTTACTCAAGTATAACTTAAGTAGTTAATTCTAACATAATTTATTTTTATTCCAAGTTTTGCAAGGTACAAAAGGAAGGTCCGTTGACAAGCAAAGAACTTAATGAAGTTCGAACATGCTGGCTTCTTTCATCACCTTTGATTTGTAAGTGTTACTTCTATGTGATGTTTTTTCTGTTAACTTTTTAGTTACATTAATTAATATTGTTTGTAATTGTGACGCTTTATTATATTGCATTTGAGAATGATTAATATATGTGCATTGTTGTTATTTTTCCAATATAATAATAATAATAATAATAATAATAATAATAATAATTGTTATTGGCAGAATTAATGCAGGTTGTATAGGTTTTTATTTTATTATTATTATTACAAAAAAGAAAAAAAGCCAGATTAATGGCACCGGTTAACCGGTGCCAATTCATACAAATTAAAAAAAAAAGCGTCAATAACCGGTGCGAAAAAATAGTAATCCCACCGGTTTTGAACCGGTGTGATTGTTATACTCTTTTCATACCCCTCAATTCTAGATTGGTTCAAAACCGGTGCGAATGGGGGGTTTTGAACCGGCTCGCAATTGTGTTTTTCTACTACTGTATACTCCTCGAATTACATAAGTTAATCCGTCAACAAGTGTCGCGCAGAACAGATAGGAGCACCTGCTACTGGAGAAACGCTTGCCCACTCCTGGTGCCTTCAGTTGGAGGCAGAATTTAGCCTAATAAGGAGGAGCGCCCGCTCTTGGGCTCATGCGCGCTCGCTCCTCTTGCTTCAGAACATGGGCTGAATAGTGGAGAATAGGGAGTAGCGCTCGCTACAAAGGTCATGCGGGCCCGCTCCTAATGTTGATAGCTAATGTAGTTTGTGGTGAAGGGTGTAGGAGCACCCGCTCCTAACGAGGTGCACGCCCGCTCCTGGTAATGCAAAGGAAGGCAGAATCCTTGAACCATAGGTGGAGCACCTGCTTCTGGAGAGGAGCACGTTTGCTCCTCCAAGAGCGGCTTCTCCCTTTTGCTTTACTTCATCTAAAGTTCTTCAAATTGCTTTGTGTGTTTATCAGATCTTCTCCTATACCTACAAGCATGAACACAAACACACACAAAGAGGCGGCAATGTCAAAATACAACTTATATATATAAAAAAGGTTAGGAAGAAAAAAAGTGGGAAAAATAATTATAAAAACGGGTTAAAATTACCACAATAAGTGGACAAATAAAGTAATAAACCATTCATCACACACAAAACACATTGAAAGTCAAAACGAACATAAAAAAGGGGAAGGAATAACACTTGAAAAATGCTGCAAAACAAAAATGTATACGGTATGCATAATAGACGGAGTAATAAAAAATAACGTGGACATCTGTGATCTGTCCTCAGTTTCCCTCTCTCTCTCTTGGTTTCCCATTGAAGCGCACTCCACACTCTCCAATCTCCATTGAGTCGACTTCTGAAATCTCTATCCTCCATTGAAGCAGCTTTTGAGGTAAGGTGTTATTTCTTTTCGTATTCATTGAAAATCAATTTCACTATCTAGGGTCTATTGTTAATTTTATTGTCGAGTATAGTCAATTTAGGGTTATTCTAAAGTTGACTATTGAACTAGTCGTTATAATATGAAAAATCATAAAGAGCAATTTTGTTGGTAGAGAAGAAAATTATGTGATTTTTTGAGCATTATTTGATATTTGAATCAAATTTTCCTTTAATGTTAGGATGGAACTATGAAATTGGACCTTTTCTACCTAAAATCATGTGAATTTTCGAGCCTAATTTGATAATTTAATTAATTTTGGTTGCTATTGGGTTGCAGAGCCCATTAATAGGAACTATGATATTGGACCTTTTTTTTCCCTGGGCATGGCGGCCTCCCCTCCTGACCTCGATCAGGGACGGGCCTGGTTGTAGTTTAGTTTCTCGTAAAGGTGCAATTGTTGCCATTTTCTTTGTTAAGTAATATTTTGATCGATTTCTGAAAATTGTTTATATTATATCTCACCCGTTTGCTTTTAGGTGCAACACTTGAAATTTGCACTATTCACATTCTTCTACTTGACCCCTTTGTTGATACATATGTAAAATGTAGTCATGTGAGATCTTGTTATATTCGTCTCAATCTAATTATCATAGTATTACTTTTTAAATATATTTTTTTACTTATCTAATTTGAGGTATGAAGAGTTCAAATTATACATTGACGATGAAAGTCAAAATATTATACTACGTATTGAAATTGTAAAAATAAAGATTTAGTATATTGACATGTTTACTATTGTTACCCAATTGATAATTTATTTGTTGTCGCTATAAATGAAGCCTATATGATTGTATTTGAAATGTGAAAAATAAAGGGCAAAAAGAAACTTATAAAATCCATTAGTCAACATATAAGCTTGCAGCTTGCTTCTTATGATTAGGTAAAAAACACCCAAGTATTAGATAGCAGAAACAATTAGATGCAAAAAGCTCAAGAGTAAATATAGTTTATCATTTTCATCAAGTTTAGTAATGGAGCAAGAAATATGGAATCAAAAAATAAATAAATTATAAATATTGGGGGTTACACTTGTAAATCTATTGAATCTTCTCTCTAATGGTTAGGGTTAAATATGTGTTTGCGATACCTGGTGTTATCGACTTATACCATATACCAGGTCTTATCGACTTATACCATGCTACATTTCTACAATTTGGTAGTAGGTAGGTGATTGGGTCTTTGTGACTTGTCACTTTTGAAACCCTTGGAGTTATCCTTATTATATTGCGAGTCATGGCTTGGAGAGCAAGATAGTTATATTCCTTAAATCTTTGAAATATCATCAACTCAATTTGTGATATTTTTACTGTTTTTAGATAGATACGACACCAGTAATTTACAAATTTTTACGTCTACACTGGTTTTATTGGATCATACATTGTTTGTAACTTTGTTGCTAACATTACCTTGAATGTAGGATTCTTATATACATTATGCTGGAAGGTTCAGTAGATTTGGAAGATCAGAGCCAGCAGAACAGGATAGGACCAGATTTATTTGGTTTCTACATGTGTGAGATAGCAGATTTGTTAACTCAGGTTGACAATTTTATGCCTTATTCTCCCAGAACTAAAGGAGCTACTAAAGTATCATCGGATGTACTGGAGAGTAGCAAAGGAACAGATACTTTTTCTCATGCTTCTTCCTTATTCAGCAACAGCTTAGAAAATGTTATTCCTGATGTCAAAAGAGAAATGTTGAAGTCTTCATTGAGGCAGAGCATTAGCACTTTAACACAGGAAGTTGATGAGGTACTTCTTGATATCTTCCTTGTTTGTATGTGGGTGTTCTATAGTTGAATTACTGTTTTTCGGGATATGAATGAAACACAAGTTTATGGGAACCATTGCATCAGGAAGCCTTTTTTGACGTAAGATAGATTCAAAACAGAAACAATACTAAGAATAGATAGTGAACACCACTTAATATAAAATTATTAATAATGGTAGGAATAATTAAGTATACGACTCCATGGGTACAGTGTGTTTGATTAAATTGATATAAACCTTGAATTTCAGAATTCAGCTCTATTTTTTTTTTTAATTTTTAAACTAGGGTTCACACACTTTTGTATGAGAGCACACATGCACCTATACACACATATTTTGAACAGTAGGATCATAGGATGATGAGGATGTGGGGTGCTCTGTCTAAGAAATCAATCACTGCAGCTACTGATACAAAGCTTTAAGAAAAAAGTTAAAAATAAACCAAAGCCAAGACAACTTTAAAAATAATATATATCATGGACAAACTTGATGCCTAGAATTAGATCTATCAACGACCCAAATTGCATTGACCAAAACCACAGCTACATAAGTCTTGTTTGTTATTGTGGTTTACAGATGCGGGCACATAAAAGAAGCTCAAGGCTAACCCTGTCAACCTTGATACGAACTACTGTCCCAATCTATGAAAATATAATATGCTGGTCAAAGTTGATAATCTCTTATAATATTCCTTCAAAAAGAATTGAAGGCTCTCAGATTCTAGAACATTCCACAAAGCTAATAGGAATGGCAGAAGTATACACAATTATTTGGGGAAATTTGTCAGTATAAAGATTACATTTGTGTTGACTCTAAAGCTGTCAAGATCAGGATAACACATGATGTGGAGTAGATTTGCAATCATTTTGCATTAGCATAAGCACATCTTGAGTACTTACATACATCTAATCAAACTTTTTATATTTGAGCCATTTTAAGTCTAAACTCTGATCTTACTCCTGAAATCTAAAGCAAGTAGACTTAAATGTTCTCAAATGCTACATCACCAAAAATATAATTTATCTGGACAAAAAAGTAGAAAATGTGCTCTTTGTCTTATTATTAGCAAGGCATAGTGGCAGTGTGTGGATCTATGGGGCTTGGATCCGTAAGTTATCAAGGAGACACCTAAAGCAAATTTAAGACCTCACTCACCACTTAATGAAAGGTTTAGTATAAAGATCTGAAAGTTAGAACCCTTTGACTTAAGACGGATGAATCGAAGTGGTATATTTTATGGTTAGGGTTAATATATTGAAGTATAAATTTCGAAACTCAAGGTAAAAGGGTCTCTTATCGATCGCAGTCCATCAATTTATCAGCACTTACTATTAACGTTATTTGGCTTAATAAAACTGAATTTAAGAAAAAGCTCAATTTTCATATATTCATTCATCTAACTAAAACATTGTAAGTTCGTGGCCTTTTAGAGGCTACTAAACTTGACTCCTAAATGACCTAGGAAGATAATTACTTCGTATATAAGTCACCTAATGTGAATAAAAAAGGAAAATTTGATCTAAAAATCCAACCTTTAAGCCGTCCTCCCATAATAATCCAACCTTTTATAGTTTTATACCTACTGACTTTTAATGGTCCAAAGTAACCGATGACTTGAACAATGGGTAATTCTTTTTTCCTTTTTTTTTTTTTTGTAAAAATTCTTTTGAATACCACCAGCACCTTTTGACCATTTCCAACCCCTTTCAAACTACCATTATATTCAGCTTACCACCCACATCGACCGTATATCCTCCTCCTTCCCCACACAGTCCACAACCATGACCCTCACCTGCAGCTTCATCCACTACACCAAATAATCCCTTCTCTTACCAAATCATCTTCCTTTATAACCACCACTTTACCATGCTTAATAATGAATAAAAAATTCAAAAACCACCACCACCTTACCATTAACACCACCATTTTTATGTACTGAATGAATAAAAAACCCAAGAATTTATGTCTCAAAATAGATCAATTGCTGAAATTGTGACATAAATTAGAGTAATTGATGCTCTCTTTCCCAAAAAAAAAAAAAAAAAAAAAAGAGTACTTGTTGCTCGAAGTTGACCTATCATGCTCAAGTGTTGTGGAATTTGGGTGGGAGAGGTGGTGGGGGTCGTTGTTGCGCTTTTTAAGTGTGGCCGTGTGGGTTCAGGAAGGAGGAAAGAGAAGGTGAGACAAGAGGAAGATGCCAAGATGGTGGTCTGGTTGAGAAGAAGTTCAGGTAAGATAAGAGATAAAGTGATTAGAGAAATAAGAGAAGGGGAGTTGGTGTGGTGGTTTTAGGGAGGAGGAGGAGAGAGAAGGTGGCTGTGGGGTGCAGGTGGGGCTGTTTTAAGGGTGGAGAAAGAATGGTAAGGGTGGAGCTTTGGGTGGTTATGGAAGAAGAGGATGGCACACGGTGGATGGGAAGAGATAGAAATGGCTAATGTTTTTTTTTTTTTTTTTTTTTTTCAATATATATATATATATATATAAATTGATAAGAAATTAAAAATGAATCTATTATACAAAGGCTTGTGGACAAGTGACTGGATATAGTAGGTGATTTACCTGTTGGGATCATTAAAAACGAATGAGTGCAAAAGGTTGGATTGTTGAGAGCAAACCACTTAAGTGTTGGATTATTATAATCAATTTTCTTATAGAAAACTATAAATAAACTTCCTTAACTCTCCTAATGAGAATAGGAAGCTTATATTAATAGCTTTCCAAAAAATTAATTCTACCATATTATGACTTTTCTTTATAGGTTACATGTAATTATTCCTGCCCTAAAGGAGTATGTAAAACCATGTAACTGACAAACAACAAAAGGAATTATCATATTGTTTGTGGTGGGGGGGGGGGGGGGGGAGGGGTGTGGGGCAGAAGATTTATAAAGGAGTAGATAGGCCACCTGACCTGATCTGTCACCTAATTATCCTCTAATAACCTCCGTGTTTTGCTTTTGTTTTTTTAATTCCTAGTCAGTCGGTCAGGTAGGTTTGACATCAATATTTTTGGGTTGGTGGGTCGGTCATTCAAATGTTGGGTCATTCAAAGGCACAAATGGTGTATGCTTGGCTGGAAGAAACTGAGAGCAGAGTGAAGAGTGTTTGTATAAATTGATTAAAAAGCAAATGATTGGCTGTAAAGGTTAGTTGTTTGACTGGGTAACTTGTTGAAAGAGAGAGGTTACCCAGGTTACGGTCAGAGCACAATACACTGGGCTGTAGTAGTGCATATGTTGATCTATTTTCCTGTAGTTTCTCTCAATATGACTCTTTCCATTTACTGTTTTCCTCAAAATTATATTTTGGTTATCTTAAAAAATCCAAGTGAAGTAATATTTTTCTCCCTTTTAGGATAATACTAGATATTTATAAAAAAATGTTGCTTTAAGTTGTTATTAATAAAACATAAAACAAGTGCATCAACGAATATTTAGTTAACCATATAGTGAATGCATGGTGCTTCTTCAGATTGCATCACATAGTTAATTTCAGAGGAATAAGAACATATTATGCATTTTAGCTAGCTCATGATTATCTGACCCATACTTGGAACTAGATCATCCAATTTTGAGCTGAACGAAAATTTACTTGATCCTATTAGAGCTGAATATTAATTTGATTAACTGATTTTTTGTTTTTTTAATGAAAGTTGATTTGCCAATAGACCACTTACATACTTTTAATGTTAAAAGTGAGCTCCTTTATTTTGAGTTAAAAAATGAATGCAATATCATTAATAGGATTTAAAACTTGTACGACCAATTAGTTTACATTTTATCACTCTACTGCAAATTATGAGAGATTCAATCTCATTGAGTTAACTGAATTACTATTCGAATATGGCTTAAGCCCAACCAGATCTGAATTGTTTTCCACCCTCTACGTGCCTTCGTTTTCTTTTTCCTATATTTGTAATTGGGGAATCATTTTTTTTCCCTCTAATTTTATTGGAAAAATCACACACCAATCCCCCCAAATTCCCATCACTGATGAAGGGTTTTATGTCAAATTTCAAGAACTCCTTTATCAAACAATATCTTATCAGTTTTTAATAATCTTATAAGTGATTATTTATATAAATGATTTTTGAAATCCAGGTGTTTGATCCGGTAATGCGCATTCGCCATGTTATTTCCTGCCTGAATTACAAAAGAAGGGAGATTTCAAGTGGGAAAGCTCCCATTGTTGGGAATTCAACTACTTTGCATTGCAAGAAGCTCAAGACATCATCTTCAAATGCTAAAGAAAGACTTTTAATTGATGAAAGTAGAGATTCTGAGAAAGAAACGGATGTAAGAAGCTCTAGTTTCTGATTCTGTTGAATTATTCTGGGAATTGGTAATATGTTGATTATTTACTACTCCCTCCGTTTTTTGTAAGTGTATCGGTTGGATTGGCATGTAGTTTTAGGAGGGTGAGTTGAATAGAGTAAAATATATTGTAAGTGGGGTATAATATAAAAAAAAAGTAGAGGAGAAAGGTGTAACAAAAAATATAGGAAGATGTCCACAAAGGGAAGTGATGCACTTATTAAAAGATGGCCGATCTAGGAAAGTGATGCACTTAATAAAATATGGAGGGAGTAGTTCATAAACTAAACTATGTAATGCAAGGGATAAACTCAGCTTGCATACCATCTACTCTATTTTGTCTTCTTTTTATACCTATTCATGCTATCTGAACAATTTGTTTTGACTTTGTGTTCTTTATTCTTTATCTGTGGAATTGAGCAGTTATTCATGTCAGTGCTCTTTGTGCTTTATTCCAGGCCAGTGTAGATTTAAAAGTACTCTTAGATAGTGACCCTATCCTGGTTGAAGAGACAATGATCAAACAATCCGATGAACTACTTGTAATGGTTAGTTTTTGAAGAACTTGAGTTTTGGTCCTCTTTGCATGAGAATTGGCTAATGTACTTTACTTCCTAGAGTTATATCTTATATAACCTGTTAAAGCTGGCTTTATATGAGTGACTCAGTTGTAATATGACAGTGTACAAGTGTCATGGAAAAGTTGAGATATTCTTTGTTGCCTTGCGCAGTTAAATCACATGGAAAAGCAGCTTGAAGATTTGCTGTACACGATAGTTTCAAAGTGTAGGTATGTAATTTTACATTGGAGTGCAAATATGAATAACGTATGATTACACTTGCTCCATCCCACTACTATTGTGTAGTTAATCATGTAATTATACTGAATAATCTTTGTGTGTGATTTGATTTCAAATTACATAATATGGGGTTTGAACTTTGAAGAATTCTATATTTGTAACATATATTAATTAAGTATATACAGGACAGAATGTTTGAAATTGTTTGAGCTAAAATTCGTCAGTGATGCATGTCTAATTCTCTTCTAAGACAATCTTACTTGAACAATATTTTTTTTTTAATTAAATATTTTGTTGGAGCTTCCATACCATTTTGTTGAGGCTTCCATACCAATGATCCTTCCTTGGATGGTTTGATATGAATTAATGCATAACACTCTTAGATGTAAGTGTTTGATGGTGAGAAATTGCTGCCAGAGGCTCCTGAATTCTGTCGTTGATCGAATACTCAGTTTTTAAATAATCTTTTTCCTGCACTTTTGGGGATGAAACACTTGTGTAAATACAAGCATTTTGGAGCATTATGCAAACCGCTGATTTGGACGCTTCGATTGGGTAAAATTCTTTGACAACCACCTGGATGCATGGATAAGGTTATGTCTTGAATTTGTAGCAAATTTTAATGCAAAACATTACAACACCTGTATACATAATCCTAGGAATGTGTGTGTGATTTGTAGTAAATTAACCTTTACATTGTGCATCTCCTTTTTTAGATGGTCATGTATGAGAATGACTCTTTTCTTATAGACTCATTTTGTTGCTTTGTACATGCTTTACAAGTATAGTAAGCGTTATGAATCAGTGTAAAATTATTTTGATCATGGAGCTGTTCATATTAACAGATTAATATTGCAGTGAAAAATCTTTTAAAAATAGGGAAAAGAAAATCAAAAAACTGGGGAAAACAGGGATTTATTGATATACAGGAAACTGAGTGATGAGGCTTCTCAATGTTAAAATCATTAGTTCTTATGGTGGCATAGTCCTCTGATGGCTGTGTGCTCGATTTTCAAGATTCAGCATTTTATATTTGTTTTCTCCTTGTGTTGGATTGGGAAGGATGCATATCTCATAAGATTGACACCAGGGAGGATGATGCTGATCAAATTACAGCTGGTAGAACTGATAGAGAAGTGTCTTTGGAAGGTTGACTGAATGGTTCTTAGTGAATGTATCAGAAAAGTAGTTTTAGACGGTGAATAACCTAGGTGTTTCCAGGCGTTTGTGAGACAGAAATTTTTGTATAGCAGACTTCTTGGTTGTGAAATCAAATGCATCTATTATGCTGAGGTTTCCACAGAGTGGAAGGATTTTTGTGTATATGTGATTGGAGGATTAAAGATTGAATGACTTTAGGAAGTGCAGGACAATGCCATTTTCATAGATTGCATATATATTAAAGCTGGATGGTAATGGAATATGTAGTAGTATGCTACAGGATAGTATATGTTGATTATTTGGACCGTAATAAGTAAGATAAAGGCTGATATATTATAAGTTAAGAGTTCTGCAAATCCTTATTGGAGGTATATGGCCTTTTAAAATCCAAAAAGGCAACGAATTCAGTAAAACCTAGTTGAATGACATATACTAATGTAGATGTAGCTTACTCTGGTTAGTTACATGTACTAGGCTATAAAGAACCAGGCAGGCTTGGTGAAGATGGTCGATAAGTCACCTTGTGACTTTGAATTCACAAGTTCGAGCCTCACCATCGCTTTAACTTTGTACATTATTTACAAATTAGCTTTGATCACATTTATTTACTAATATTTAAATATAAATGTCATTATGTTAATTGTTGTTGGGTTACTTATCTCAATGTATATTTTCAAATTACTCCGCATCATTTTTGTATAAATTTTATTAATATATAATTAAAGATATTGATGGTTGAATTCAGTATATAATGAGTGTAAAATGTCAAAGTATTCATCTATTGAGAAATAGAGTATATTCTAAGTGTAAAATCTTTTAGTTGATTTTAGGGGTTAGTGAGGTTCATTTTTGTAATGCATGATACTTGTGTAGTTGTGTCCTAGCTTTTTATTTTTATTTTTTCTTTTTATCAGTTAGCTTATTTTGGGTAATGAATTGAGCGGGATGGTGTTCTCAGTTACTGCAAACAATTTCAACACTATTGCTAGCTTGTGTCTAGGGGAGAGAGTGATTAGATATGCAGAATGTTTGATTTTACGCGTCTTTCCATGTAACAGAAAATTGCAGATAATGCTTACTTTGTGATTTTGTGTCTTGAAGGCCTATGGCTCAACAAGAGAAGCAACATCTTCAAAAGCTGATCGAGAAACTTCCAGCAAAAAATCTAGATCGAATTTTGGAAATCATCAACTACAAGAAGTCATCAGATACTGTTTCTCTTGATAAGATTTTTATTGATCTTGAAGAACAGGTAGTCTCAGTGCTTTGTGTTGTAAATGCATGCCTTATATTGGATTTCTATGAAATTGTAATTCGTTGCTGTAATGCAGGAAAACGTAACTCTTTGGAGACTCTACTTCTATGTAAAAGCTGTTGAAAATGCAAGAAAGTTGTCGGCATAGCTCCCCTTCATCAAGTTGGAGAATATTTGAGACTTGAGAGGTATCTTGTAAGAACCTATCGTACAGTTCCTTAATTCCAGCAGCGTATGATAAGTATAGCATCCGAGTGCACAGAAATGGCACCATTGTAGTTGCCGGAGTACTTCAAGGGTCCTTCCTTCACTAGCAAAGAGTTTCCCGTTGTGGCTTCAGAAACTTTTTTGACGGAGGAATAGAAGAAAAACCTTAAACCTTGGGGTTTTTGTATAGGTGTTTCAGTGTTTGTAGATTAACTTGCCTGCATATTCAGAAAATCATGCTCACAAATGCAGCTTCATGGAGTTCATGTCAAGTACATATTTAGACTAGTTTTGTATAGCTGGATGTTCTAAATGATTTAACTCCCTACATTCTTAAATAATTGACACGTTTGACTTTTTTTTTTTCCCTATTCATATACTAACTTTGGTAATCATTTTTTAAGTAACTAGTCATAGCGTGCACGCCCCCAACGCAACGATATGTAATTTAGTTAACGTTAATTGTGTGTTGTTATTTCGAAGATTATAAAAATGAATGTAAATTTGGCTTATGTCAATTGGATACTTTTGAAAGGGTATATTGCTTAGATTCGTACGTAAATGGTAATAGCAGCCTATTGTTTGATGTAGTTAGTGAAATGGTATTTATTGTCTCTTAGTACCGTGCATTTCCTTAAAAATTATACATTGCACATATTAGTTTATGTAGTGATAATTTTATTAATTTTATACTTTAAAGAGGGTGTGCACCATCTCTTTCGTTCCCAAATCTCTCTTTTGAATTCTACTTTTTTACAAACAAATTAAATGTGATATATAAAGTGTTTACTCACTTAACCCCTTCATTCTTTGGTCCTTCATCTCTCTCTTTCTCAAACACGATAAGCCTTTAACACATTCATCTAGGGAAATGATTCCAAGAATTCTCATTATCTTTCAATGTGGGATAGTTGGTAAAAAGCCAAAAATAAGATTTAATTTAATTCTAAATTAAATTAAAAAAGCATGAACAATAATCAAATAACAAGTGTCATCACATAAGAAAGGGAGTAGGTGGGAGGACCACCTTGGCCTTGGAGAACAAGGCAAGGGGCTACCCCACATCTACCCGATTAGCAAGGGCAGTTGCCCGGCCTTGGGTAGTAAGGCCAGCCACGCTGCCAGCCTTGCGCTACAAGGCTAGGCCTGCTGGCCGCTTGGCGCAAGCCCACGTGCATATCGTAGGCCAGCAGCAGTACCCGAGCCATAGCAGCAGCACCGCAAGCGCCAGCCTTAGCTTGTTGTTAGCCTTGCTAGGCAGGCCTAGCTAAGGCTGCCTCGGTGCACAGGCCACTAGGCCGCCCCAGCCAGCCCGTAAGCAACGTCCAGCCTAGCTGGGCCTTGCGATGGTTGCGGTGGCTTGGTGGTTTGGTGCTTGCGGCCCCTAGTCATTTTAGCACGATACGTCATTTGATTATTTTCTCGTCTTTGTCGACCCCTAAAATCGACTCGACGCTCTAAGCTCGGAATCCAACGTCTTAGTTCGTAAAATCTCTATCGGTCATTTAATCCTTCGGATTAATTCATCGCTTCGATTCGATTATACGATTGGGTGTGACCCGAAGGGTTCAGTCAAGAGCAAGCTGTAATATTAATTATACATTAATATTACTGAACAGAAGCGGTCTCCAGTTAGGCAGTCCGATCACTTGACCTCACTGAATAATCAGCTTTCCTAATTAATTCCGAACCCTCTATTGGAATAATACACTTGTTTGAAGGACACCATTCCATTCACCCGCCTGATCATCGCCCCGTTGCCTGTTATCCTTGGAACGGATGCGTCTGGTTTTAAGGGATCCATCTTTGGCCGTATATACTTCGACCTATGGATCATAATCTGTATCATGGTCCGAATGGACCTCTACTTCTGGACACCTGTCCTCAGGAGGCGGTACAGTCTCTTGAGAAACCATCTTAGAGGTATTTCGGGGTTTATTATGAGTCCAGCGGGAGAGTTACGTCACCAACTGGATTCCCTTCGCCTGTACCTGCAAACAAACGGAAGCTCCGGTTAGGAGTTCTGCCTCCGACGATCAAGTTAGTAAGAATCGAAGGAGAGTAAAAAGTGCGGAAAGTTGAAGTAGATCTTCTTGGATTCTGAGATCAGGTGTTTTCTCTTATGTGAGAGAATTGATTGTGTGTAATAAATGAACGTGCCCCCAAATTGGGGTAAATCTCCCTATTTATAGGCTCATGGGAATTAGTGCCCCCTTTTCTAGGTCATCAACCTAGGTAAATGGGCTACGCCGTTTTTACGGTGTTCTCGGGATTATGGCCTTTGAAAGCCGCCTTTTTCCCTGATGATTAGGAGTGCCACGTGTCAACTGGTGATTGGTCCTTTTTGCACCTCTCTTGGGGTGACACGTGTCTCCTTATGATTGGGCCACGTAGCCTGGGTATTTTTACCCAAATCAGAGATGCTTAATGATTTAACGGCTGCAAGTGATGTGATTTCTCTTCATTATTCCTTGACAGACGAGACTGTCCAGATTATTAATGTTGAATGTCCAGATTACTAAAGTTGAATGCTTGCAGCATATCAAGCATGGTAATAATTATTATTTATACGAACTACTTCTTTTTTCAAGCTAGTGCCTTTCATCCTATTCTCCTTTTTAATGCTAGTGAACAATATATTCAGGCTCATATTTGGTGAACACTGGAAGCAGTCAGCTTTTGGATGATTGTGCTGTGAAGCTGCTATTGATCGATGGAGTCCTTGCTGGCTGTGCACTGGATGGTGTTGAAGGGCCACAATGGATGGAGGCATGGGTATGCTCATTTTAAAACAGAAAATACACGCATCATATTCTATTTTTATTCTTTTCTGTCTTTCATGGTTTTGTGCATCCACACATGATTTACATTTACAGGATATTTATAAGGATTGCTTGTACATTGAAATTTTGCTAGCATATGATGCTGTATTTTACCCTATTCTGTAAAAAAAATTATCTCTGAATGTGGTTATACCTCTTTAGCATAGTCTTGGGATGTATTTTCTTGTATATATGTTGATTGGGAGGCCTGCTCTGCACTTCTTTGGATGATGTTGCTGTCAGGCTCAGGCAGAGTGTTATATCTGTTAAAAACTTCATGAGGCCTGTCCAATTTTAGGTGAGGGTCGGCATTAGAAAGCTTTGCACAGCCCTGGAGGAAGATTCCTTCAGGCCTGTCCTGCAGCACCAAGTTATTGTCAGTTGTATATTCAAAACATTCAATCATTTTGAGTACATGTATTTTTCAGTTTTATTTTCAAAATGCAACATAACTTGCCACAGATTTCTGGTTTATAAAACTACATGATTCATTGATATTACATTGTTGTATTACTACTTGTTGAAACTTACAGGAATGATCTGACGTGTCTTGATTCTTGATTTGACTAGTGGCTTTGCAAGATGCTGTCATCTATGTATCAACTATTTGAATGGAAATAACTTCTTGATTTTTGGCATACTTTTTAATTACTCGCATGTCATTGATTATAAGGCCTTGGAAAGCTATCCCTCTGATGCGCTAAATATTGAAAAATTTTCAGCAACAGAGCAAAATGGAGATTTGTTTAAGAGAATAGATGATGTGCTTGGTCAGACTAATAATGACCACTCTGATCAGAAGACTGACACAGATTCTGACTTCTGGTCCTCAGATTATGACAAAAATATTCCTGATGGTTTATCTGATTCCAGATCTATTAGCTTGTTTAACAAGTATATGGTCGATTTGGTGGCTACGATTGCTGTTTTTCAGGGTAAAGGCAAGTTGCCACAGGGAAGACACCAAGTGGGAACGACCAGCGAGAGGTTCTGCAAAACTCAATGTGGATGGGGATTGGAGAAACACAGGTATAGCAGGAGCTGGAGCTGTGATCAGAATTTCTGATGGTGCCTGGTTAACTGGAGGCTTGTGGAAAATTAAAGTGAGAAATCCTGCTGAAGCCGAGCTCTTAGCGATTAAAGGAGGAATGCAATTGGCAATTAACGAGAAACTAAAGAAGGTGACAGTGGAAACTGATGCCCAATCCTTAAAAAGTACTCTGGAGGATTTAGGGAAGCAAGGGACTCATAAATTAGCTGCGATCTTGAGGGAAATTGGAGAGCTGCTCAAGGGTGCCTTCAAGTTCGAGTTTAATTATGTGAACCGTGAGGCTAACGAGGTGGCACACTACCTGGCACAAATGGCAATAGAGATGGATGGAGAAATTATGAAGCACAACACTACACATTGCGCGAAGAATGCATATGAGAATGATATGGTGGATAGCAACAACTAATCTCAGTGTTCACTGGTGTATGACAATTGTCTATTGTAAAAGCGTTGACTTTGCTATCTTAGGACCCTTTATTATGTTTAAGCTCTGTAATGGTTTGATTTTTGGAGTTGCAGTATTAACTCCTTTGAACTCTTGGTTGATGATTGATTAAGTAATAAGTTTCTTTTCTATTACAAAAAATGCCACTAAATATTTGGTACTGCATATTTTTCCACAGACCACAGATATCACAATCACATGAAATTGATTTGAGGCTTTTCAAAACCTCTAGATAGCTTTGGGACATATCTATCTTTTCTTTCATCTTAATAATTCAGGCACAACAATAAATCATGAATTAATGATACTACTATTAAAGAAATATTGTACTCATTGTGATAAAAGTCCACAAACTTGTTTCTTGATATACTAATATTCTTTCCATTCAGAATTACTCGGTGTTCTGTTTGAATGACAGACATTTAAAAAACATGCACAATCACTAATTTTAAATGCAATTCAATTTATCAACATGTATGTTCACTAATTAAACTACATTTATTCATAATAACCTAAATAAAGCGTACACATTAGCCAGAAGAAATCACACTTTCGATCTCACACACTAGCAACACTATATTGCTTCGCGCGTAAAGCACCGCCCTAGTATTTTTATATTTTCCCAATAATCAATTCTCGATCCCTATCCCACAAATTAATCCCCAAACTCTCATTCCCACATTCCAAACGCCCCCTAGGACTTGTGTTTTTCTTTTGATCAACTTCAATTTATAATCCTATTAAACTAAAACTCTATTGGTGGGCCCTAAGAGTACAAAATGGAGATGGTTAGTAAAGAAAGAAATAAAATTGTGTTTTTTTTTTTTTACAAAAAACTATGTCTTCTTAGGTTATAGCCATGTTGATAATAAATTAAGGATCAAGGAGTGGAGGGAGTCCCTCCATCTTCTCCAGGTGTGACTAGGGTTCGATCCTTGCCTCACTTCTCCTGTGATAGGAGACACCCCCGTATTTTACCGTGTAAAAAAATGTTGATATTATCTTGGTCTAGAAATAATTCGATCATATTATATCATATCTTATTGTTTTACCTGTGTTTGTTTATTGTTATTTATGAAAATTTCATATTTGGAAAGTACATATTAACACGACTCTAAGACATCTCATTTGACAACGAAGATCGGCCTTTTGCTGAGCTATTTTTTTTTTTTTTTACTTACGGGTTAGTGTACAAATAAGGCCATAGTTTGCTTAAATCTAAAATTCAAATCATATTAGATTAGATCATGTAAACTAAACATAACCTTTATAAATTATACTAATGTTTGTCTCACATTAATTCGAACACTTATCAATGTACACACAAAGTGAGTTTTAAGAAATAAAATTATGACTGAACTTTATTGTTATTTTTAATAGACTAGTGAGCATAATGGAGGTTGGGGACGTATTTACATGGTTATAATAATCATAGAAAAATATGTGTGAAAGAGGATATAAGCCTAAAGGAAGGTATGATATAATTTATACTCAATTGTTGGGAGCATACTTAGAGAAATATTGAAGAGATTAAACTATATTATAGACGGATGAAAAATTGAAAATTAAAGATGCACACAATATTATGGCACCTTACTTTAAGGCTCTATTCTTTTTACCTTATTCAAATAATATTCAATATAAAAATTAGGAAAATTTGCGAGGAAGGTCCTTTTAAGTGGTCGACCTTGTGAGAAAGGTTCTTTTATGAAAAAAGGCGGCACTAAAGGTTCTTTTATGGATATGGGTTGTGAGGAGGGTCTTTAGACCAAACTCCGGCGTTGACCAAAATTTTCCGGCCAAAAAAAGTCATGACAGCACGTGACTACTTTAATGGCCCTTTTGTTTTTTCCCTCTTTTCTAATGAATAAATTAAAAAAAAATCAAAATTATAACCTCTCTAAATTCTCTACATCTGATCTCTCTCCTAACTTTCCCTCTGTAATTTCTCGCCGGAAAAATCAGCAGCAATGTTTTTCCACATCATGCACAAGAGAAATATGCAGCTTCACCCCCGCCACTTTGGCACGCGCCTTCGCGATAAACTCGTCTCCAAGCTTATGAAAGACGTCGAGGGTACTTGCAGGTTTTTTTATTTCTCTAAATCAAATCCCTAATTTTTTCAATTCAACGCTTATCTATTGAATTACTAGCTTAGATTGAAATTCATTGAATTGGGTTTTCTGGGTTTCTTCCAATTTTCGATTTTTAACAGTGGGCGTCATGGATTTGTGGTGGCAATCATGGGAATTAAGCATGTTGGCAAGGGTTTGATAAGGGATGGAACTGGGTTTGTTACTTTCCCTGTTAAGTATAAATGTGTTGTATTTCGTCCTTTTAAGGGTGAGATTCTTGAAGCTGTTGTTACTATGGTTAATAAGGTATTAAACCCATCTAAAACCCTTTGTTATTTAAATTTTTGTTGATTGATTTTACTAATAAAAGGGGAAAACTGAAGAGGGAAAGGGAAAAAAATAAAAAAATAAAAAAAAGGGGCCATTAAAGTAGTCGGGACTTGTTTTGGCCGGAAAATTTTGGTCAACGCTGGAGTTTGGTCAACTGACTCTTCTCACAACCCAATCTTCATATAAGAACCTTTAGTGTTACCTTTTTTATAAAAGGACCTTCCTCACAAGGTCGATCACTTAAAAGGACCTTCCTCGTAAATTTTCCTAAATATTATCTAAGTTTTATAAAATTAAATCTAGTTCAGTTAAAAAAATAATAATAATTTAATCAGTAAAAAGAGTAAGTAAAAAATAAGATCAATTAATGAAAATAATTTAATTTCAATTAAAAAAATTCAGCAAAAATAATTCAATTTCAACAAAAAAAAAAAAAAAAAACTTTAATTTAGAAAAAATAAGGTAGGGAGAGAATAGAGCTAAACTGAATTTATATATATATATATTAATTAATAACACGACTTTAACTCAATTGGTGGACTCTTAGCTTAGAGCAGAAATTGTAAAGATTGATGAGAATGTCTTGCAATAATATAAATTGCATTCATTTTTTTCTGTATTTTGGATTAAGTTTTCTACGTTATCCTCATGCCTAAATTTCTGCAAGTTTTCAACAATGTTTCCTTATTCTCCTCGCAAAGTCCAGACTCCCGCCATTTGAGTTTCTATCAGTAAGATATACACTTGGGTGTATGCATGTAGTGTACACTACACATGTTTAACTCTTACAAAAAAAAAGTGTAACATTTGGAATTGTAAATTTATTTCATCAAGCGCCTTTTCAGGGAATATTTCAACAACTAGCATTCTCTGTCAGTGGTTAGTAAGAGTAAGGGTTTCAAGAGAGAAGGGAAAAGGAGGAAAAAGATTTATTTAAAAAGGAGGTGAAAGAGGAGATAGTTCGATAAAGTATTGTTGCATTCGGTATATATAATGCTGGCATTTATCAACTCACCTTTGACTTGTATATAGTTTTATTTATTTATTTAAATCATTATATCAATGTGTAGTGACTTGTATGGACACCAAAAATGTACATTTTGATGTAAATAGCTTTTGTGAATTGAATATATAAGCTATTATTTAAAGGTATTAGATGGAGAAAGAATAATTGAGAGCTTATATTAGACCAAGATTGAACAACAGTTTGAGATAAAATAGAGTTAAACAATCGATTTAAGTTAGGTCAAACCACAATCAAGGTGAAAAATGGAAGTTCAATTCAAATAAAATTTGGTCTTCTACATTATGAACAAAAATTCATCACCTTTACTAAATATTAATAAGGAAAATTAAATTTAATAATCCCAACTTTGACCTATTTTCTTTGAATAATCCCAACTTTTGATTATTCAGTAATAATCCCACCTACTTTATTGTGTGTTTTCTTTTAACAATCCAATGACCGGTGACCTGTTGAAAGAGGTTTTATTTTTTGTTTTAAATGCCATGTGTCGCAAGTTAATTGGTCAAAAATTAAAACAAGATACCTAGCCCTTCCTCCCCTAACCCCACTAACCGGCCACCCCAAGCCCCGAAATCGACCGACCACTGCCACCCCAACGCTCAAAACCACCCCCTCTTTCCTTACCCTGGAAACCATCCCCTCTTCCCTACCCCATTAAACAACCCCCCTCCCTTCCCCAACCCCCGAAACCTCCCCCCTCCCTTCCCCAACCCCGAAAGTGCACCCCTAGGCAGTTTCGAGGGTGGAGAAGGGTGGCCGGTCGTTTTTCAGGGTAGGGGAAGGGAGGAAGGTTTTTTCGATGAGGGAAGGGAAGGGACACGGTGGGGCTAGGGTGGTCTAATGGGGGAAGGGAGGGGCCAAAAATCTTTTTTAAATTATTTTACTTTAATTTTATTTGTTGTTGACCAATTGGGACTGTTTATAGAAAATGCACCCCAATGTAAAATTATTCCATAATAATCAAAAAATTTATTTAAATAAAATTGGCAAAAATTAGAATTATTAAAACCAAATTTTCTTATTAATTATATTTAAATTATTAGTGAGCAATGATTTTCTACCTCGTCATCCAAAATTAATTAAGAAAAATTTTAAACACGATTGTAACGATCATAAATAAGATATTAATAGTAAGAAATAATGGAAAATTTGTCAATTACAACCATTTAAATTTTGTATTTTGCAAATTACAGCCATTTAAAAAAAATATTAAATTACAGCCCAAAAGTAATAATAAATTGTAAATTGCCATCCAATTCAATTTTTTCATCGATTTGCATGCTAAAAAAATGTTTCATAAAGGTTTTATGGATCATTTTAGTCTTTAAGAACCCAAATTGAGCTCGAAATTGGCAAAAAAATAATGTAAGTGCTTCATCTTCACAGCAAAAAACAGTTGCACACAAATCGATACATTTTTAAAACGTAAAACGAGACACTTACGTTATTTTTTTGTCAATTCCGAGCTCAATTCAAACCCTTTAGAGCTAAAATGACCCCCAAAATCTTTACGGAACATTTTTAAGCACGCAAATCGATGAAAAATTGATTTAGGTGGCAATAAACAAGTTATTATTAGTACTTTTGGGACGCAATTTGCAATTTTTTTTAAAATGGCTGTAATTGGCAAAATACAAACTTTAAATGACTATAATTGGTAAATTTTCTAGATAATAAACATAACCTTATATTACCCTAGGCATACTGGACTAATGGGTAGGAAATCTTAAAGCAGAGGAACCAAACATTACTCCATATAACATTAAGCCGAAGTAGCAACTCCCTACATCCTCAAGCAACCTTTGATTGCAAGTCCGAGATTTCCCACTAACAATCCTGAAAATTAGGGAATTAACATTCCTGAGGCTAGACAACCATTCGATAGCGACCAATGATGGTATCCACGACTGTACATGCATACACAATAATGTTAATCCCTAAATTATAAGAAACCTAAACAATAAGATTGAATCATTTATCCATTCCCCAATACTTTTTGTAAAATATCCATTACCATAAAATCCGTCCTGCCATAGGGGCGAAAGACTAACGACTACATAATGCATGGATGAAGAAAGGTAGAAGCAAACAACAGTTCCCAGTCAATATCAGACAAGAGTAGATAACTTCCGGATTATTAAGCATACAAGTTCTCTTCTTAGTCTGAATTAAGATGTTATATACTTCAGTTTCAGTATCCAAGACGAACTTTCTGTGAGTCAATAACAATCAGTCCTAATCCTACAACACAATCTACACCAGGTCCCTGTACTGAGAGCTCCAGGGACCAGAGTTAACAGCAAAGACACGAGGATAAGCAGTAAATTTCTGAAATTCCATACTTCTTAAGAGGCATCCTTGAGCACTCCTAAACAAAAGTGGAAAAGAAAATCCAAATTAATCAAGCTGGGCATAAACAATCAGTAGAAGTCTATTGAATGGGGTGAAACTCCCTGTTTGATGCTTTGATATAAGTAGTGTACAACAATATACGAAGTATAAGGAAAGCTCCAAAAGATTACCACATTAAATAGAGAATGCCACGATAAGAAAGAGAAGGAAATTCTTCTCATGTATGAAGATAATTAGCAGCCATCATCAGATCCAGAGTAAGTTCAGGTTCAATGTGGAATTCGGTCTCCTTTCCACTACACAAAAAAAAAAAAAAAAAAAAAAAAAAAAAAAAAAAAAAAAAAAAAACATTTACACATACATAAAAAAGACCATACAAAATCTTACCCGAAGGATTTAAGAGAGAGAGAGAGAGAGAGCTCAAATAGTACAATAGTTCACTAAACACAGCTGCAGGTTAGGAACTTGGAAGACAAGGAAAAACTCTGCATCTTTTCCTGATGAGTGTCTAAGCTAAAAGATAAATACACTGGCAAAATGGGACTAATTGACAAATGAATTTGAAGGTGTGTGTTGACTGTGTTCTCCCCCGCCAAACTATAATTGCTAGTTTTGGTGTTTCAATGCAACCCTGACACACTCATAACTAAACATTTTTAATATCTACTTCAGAATTTGCAAGGTAAAGATCAATTTAACACAGAATCACAGCATAATTGCAGGTTTTTCCAGTTTAGCTCATCCTGAAAGCAAGAGACTCATTTACTCACGCACCACGGAAATAGCTAGAAAACACCTCCATCACTCAGCGAAATCAAGCAAGAGATGAGTTCATATTAGTTCATATATTTTGTTGCAACCAAGCATGAAAAATAATTGATGTATCACTGGTCAGACAAGCTTTGCTTGAAGTTTCGACTAAGGCACATATTAGAAGATAGCCAGATCCTATGAATAATATGCTCTTGGGAACACAGCAATAGATGATATTGCATACAACACCAATAGCAGGAAGAGGGGAAAAAAGGAAAGACAGTCAAAGAACTCATGCTATCTGATGCACATCAATGACTTAAATCTCGAAAATGCTTCCGGAAAACAAATGAGAAGAAAATGTTTTTGCTTGCATATTTCTAAGAAGACAACTATAAAGATGAGTAAGACGAAAACAACAACCACCACCCCAAAATTAACCCCTCAGAAAAGAGTCTTCAAGACTGCATTATATTATAGGAGAAATTAGATTAGGTTTCTTCTTTGTTTAGGGAGTTCTTGGCTTCTTGCACATCAGTTGTGCAACATGCACGAAGTAATTTAGCTTTATAACTATTACAATACAGACTTTTTATTTTTTATTTTTATGAAACATGATGAAGGCGGGAAAAGGAAAAGGCTTCCACTAGTAACCTAGAATATGGCCAAACTAGCTGTACATCAACAGCCAGACAGATCTGACTACTTTGCCAGTCTCTAGATGATCAAAATGAAACCATCTTTGTGAGTAAAAAAGTTCAAATAAAATAAGTAAGCACTTCTATTATTAATTATGATGTACTTGACTTACGGTCAGAAGCTCCTAGAAAATAGATGTTCATGGAATGTTCAAACAGAATCTGATGTGAGATGTAGGATTATGAAATAAAATAAGATAAGTAAGCACTTCTATTATTAATTATGAAATATTATTGATTACAGCACACAAATATGATAGAGCAGCAGCCATCTACAGACAAGTCCAGAGTGTCAAAACGAAATCATTGTATTCTGAACTAACAATCAAGAGTGATAGAAATAGTGTTGCATTCATAAATCATGATCACGTAATAGTAAGGTTATGAAAAATAGTGTTTGTTATCTCCAGGTCTTTTGGCTATGGAGGCACATAAAAACAGTAGAAGAAGACAGACAGAGACGACAGCATGTGTTACCAAGAAGGAGAGTGTCAGTTTAGTCTACATAAACTTACTACAAAGTGGTCCCTAAAGCACACAAAGATAAAACAATATAACTCGCTTATAGCCTCAGTGAGAATTGTATAACAATTTTTTAAATTCCTCTAATTTAATCTACTTTTTCCATAATCAGCTATCTCACTCAAGAATGAACACAATTTAACCTTTGCATCCTTAATTTTCTGTCGAAATTTGTGTTTTTGTCATCATATGAGCTGTAAGCAAGACTAACAAAGTAACAATTGCTCGAGCTAAACATGAAAGATCGATGAAATATAGACAATTCCAAAAGAAAACATATCACCAATCAAACGTCCTATATCAAATTGTTTATAATAAACAAACATCAACCAAATTAGCATTCTAAACACTCAAGCTTGTTTCAATCAGAAATTTCCATCCAAAAACAATCCCACAAATATAGATAATCCCAAAATCAAATTTATTCTACAACACTGAAGATCAAATACAAATTGCAACATCAATTAAAACAACTTAAAATAAATTACTTTATAAGATAAGAAACTACCTAGCATACTGACGAGACCAATAGAAATACTGACAAATTTTCTCCAATATAGTAGTACTAATGTCCGGAAATCTCACTATACCATTTTCCGTTTCAGCAAAATTCCCTGCAAATTCCGAAAGCACTAATCAATCAAAATCTCCAATAACTCGATAATTCAACACACAAATTACACACAAATCTGCGCAATCATACGAAATTTACAGAATTGAAAACAAGAAAAAAAAAAAAAACCCTAATTTTGATTATGATTGATTACTGTAGAAAAACCTGGAGAAGTAAGCAAATTGCGAAGAAATTGAGAAACCATAGCAGCTTTCCTATCGATGACGAATTCGAAGCCCTCAGAGCTGATCAATTTCACCGTTTCTTCCTTCTCCATCTTCGCTGCAAGTGATCAACAACTGATTTTTCTCTCTCCTCGGCAAATTTCGGATTTCTTCGACGAGTTAAAGAGGTATTTTTTGGTGGTAAATGGCAACAAACACCGCCATGGCTTGAGATGGCCTGTTGTTGTTCAAGCCTGTGGTGTTTTTAGTTGCCCATTTAATTTGAAGGCCCATTTTTCATTGGTTTTTATTACGAACTACGAAGTATGTTTTTCAAACTCTTGTTGGGACTTTGGACTCGAGAGAGCTTTCTCTAATTAGGGTTCATCTCGAAGCTAATTAGATAAGTGCATGTGCGATACACGCTAGTAATAATTTTTTTCTCATAATTAATTTATAATTTTATATAAAGATGAGGCAACTCATGTGGAATAAACAAATGCAATACATATATATATAAGACATATGAAATAATAAGGCAAAAATTATGTAAACTACAATTGAGAAAAAAAATATATATATATATATTATTATTGATTAGTTATGTTTGAAAATATTTAAAATTAGTATACATTACATTACATTAATGACGCATGTTATACCCAATAAAACTATACAATGTAGATGTCATATGACTTTTTATTAATGAATTAATTTAGTTCCCATAAAATATATATATATATATATAATATACTTTCAAAAAATAAGCTAAATAGAATAATTTTTAAATAAAAACTTAGCTTAAAGCTGACACCATATATTGTATTGGCGGGAAATTTTTTAATTATAACTTGACATATGTCCAAAATGATCAATGTAAGCATGATCTGTTTCAGTAATAGTTAATACTAGTAGATTTTTTGAAGGAAAAAAAAGTTTTACTGTATAAGTTGGTAAAATTATTACAGAAATATTTAACAAAAAACTAACTCAATTCAATATATCATATCACTAATAAATAATGACGGTCTCGCAACTAGGCCACGAGACATCGACACTTGGCATTCCAGTTTTTTGCCAAGTGTCACACCATGTAGGTGAAATCTAGGTATTATTGTGACACATATGAGGCTAAGTAAGCGAATTTTGGATAGATTTTTTAAGATAAAATTGTTGTATAGAGTTTAATTGTCGATGTATTTCTAATATTTCATATATACAAAATTAATCATAACTATTAATAAAAATCTAATAACTCGATTTTATTTCAATCATAAAATTAGTTTTCAAAAGTTCTTTAAAAAAAGATCCATTTATAATATATTTAAAATAATAGAGAATTAGTAAAAATAAGTTTTAATTGGTAAAAATGCTTTCAGTTTAATAAAAATAATTTAAGTATGATATCGCATGTATAAATATCCTGCATTAGCAAAAATGATTATATAATTGTATTTAACATTCAAGCCAAAAGGTTCATCCTAAAATTCAATAAACAACCTGGGCATCACCTGGGGCACAAAACTAGTATATATATATATATATATATATATAAAGGGGAGTTTTTTCCCGAGTTTAAACTAGGATAAAATTTTCTTAACGCGCCATGTAAAATTATAAATTTTAGATATAGCCAATCAAATAAGACATTTGTAAATTCTTTTAGAATTAACTAATTTAAATTCCATATAAGCAAAATTGGCGAATGAGATTTTAAAGTTTAGATTAATTAAATATATTATATTATCTTTTGAGATTAGTATTTTCATAAAAAAAATATAAAACGAATGAGAGGAAATTCGCAAATTATTTTAAAATAAAAATATTAAATGATATACTATGCACAACAAATAAAATAACAAATTTTATCATATAAATACAAAAAATATTTGTTTTAAAAATAAAAATAAATCGTGCATCTTACGGGCTTCATTTAGTGATATTATATGTACAACTAATCAAATAACAAATTTTATCACATAAATATAAATAATATTTTTTTTAAAAAATACAAACAAACCGTGCATCGCACGGGATTCATCTAGTTATTATTATTTCATAAGATTTCAAATCAACACCATGAATAGAAATGTTTTTTTTTTCATTGAACCCCACTATTGTACAACTATATATAATGATAATTTAAATGTTAATATTGTATTTTTGGCCCCTACTGTTTATACTCTCCACCATATTTCAACCTTCTAAATAATAGCTTATTTTCCCTTGATTAAAAGGTCTCAAAATCTTGTGTAACTATTTTAAGTAAATAGAACACTAAATAAAAAGGAATACAATTATTATAAAGATAATATTACCTCCGTTAAATATTAGTTGCAACTTTAGAATATTTTATATCTCACAAATAATACCCAAATTTGCGACTAATATTTAATGGAGGTAGTATATAAGATTAGGAATAATATATTACGGAGTATTATATTTTATACAGATATTTCAAAAATAAAAGATTTTTGCTAAAACTGAATGGAGGAATTTTGGAGAAAAAAAAAAATAATACCCCTATTTGTTTTAGTATTATGTTATTTCTGATGAGAAGGCTCTGATCTAGTGCTAGCAAAAAGGCGTGTCGTGTCGTGTTTGTATTTGGTTTCGTGTCAATATCTTATTATTCATGAAATCTGATTAGGGGATTTTTCCCACCATTCACCATCTAACAAGTGGACCAATCAGGTTCCGCCATGTGTCCGCCACATGGGCCAATAGGAGTCTGCCACGTGTCAGGCATTGATCTGTCCACCATGGATCAGTTACGACACAACATGTGTCCTTCCCTATGCCAACTAGGCAAAACGGCCACCTAGGCCCAATCCTTGGAAAAAGCCCAGTCAGCCCTAGGTTTAACCTAAACCTAACATTTGGCACGCATCCCAAGGCATATAAATATGATCATTAATCCTCAATTGAAGGGATTACGTTCATTAATTACTCTCACCTAGAGAAAACACTCTACCTTTTTCCGCATTAATTACTCCTTAAACAAATACTAACTTAACTGTTGGAAGCGGAGCTCCTACTACCCGGAGTCTCCGTTGTTTTGCAGGTACAGGTGCCCGGTTCCAGTCTCGGAGTTGTAAATCTCCCGCAGGACATCAGAAAACCCCGAAACATTTTGGCGTCGTCTGTGGGGAGAGTTCCTTCGAGATGGCAATAAAGTCTGTACCGAATCCAAAAGAGAGGCGTCCAGAGGACGACCCTCAAGTATAATCAGACCATGATACTGAGAATGAGGTTGAGGTTGAAACACACACGGCCTCAGACGGGACCCTAAGGGCCCGACGCACCCGTCACACCGAAAGGAAAGAACGGGTAGATCACCAAGCTGGACCCAACAATCCAGCCAGCCAACCGTCTGAACAACAATAGGTGGCCGAAGGATCTGCTCCCATTACAAGAAACGAACTCATGACCTTCATGAGGGGGTTCAAGGGGGAGATCCAATAGTTGATCAATAAAAAGACGCCTGCTCTCTCTAAGGAGCAGTCGGCCAGAAAGCCTTCTCATTCAGGAAGAAGGAAACCTATTCAAGGTCGAGAGGCGACTCCCAACCCTAACTATAGGAAGTGGGAGCCGCCTGTGATCGACTTAACAAGATATCGTTTTCCCTCACCAGGGAAGAGAAAGCCCATTCGTCATATACAGGCGGATTGGTCAAAGAAAACATACTCAGATGCTCGGCTACTGCTAGAGCAGAAGAAGAATGATCGACTGTCAGAGTCGGCCTCCACTTCAGACTTCCAAGATAGTCTGCACAATACCTCTATGAGGTATACTCAATCAAATCATGAGAGTCAGACAGGCGGTACCTCCCGTCGGTCTGGATTTCATAAAGAGCAGGCAGTACCAAACATGCCATACGTACCGCAACAGCAATACTTCTTGCAGCCTCCTCTGTTTGGAGGACAGGCAGTAAAAAGCGTCCACCCTTTGGACTGGCAACTGCGGTTGCTAAGACTTGGAGAACAACCGTCCGCTTTCTCCAAGGAAATTACAGAGGCCGCCCAGCCGGCCAAAGTTAAGAATGTTTTAGTAGGCGCCTATGATGGCACTACTAACCCTGAAGACCACTTAATGGCATTCACCAACCTAATGTACCTTCAAGGGTTAGATGACTTTACTTGGTGCAAGTGTTTTCCAGCGACTCTCAAAGGAATCGCACAACAATGGTTCGGCAACCTGCCGACTAGTTGCGTGAATAATTTCAGGATGCTTGCTTACTTGTTCACCTCCAATTTTTCTATGAACATTCCTGCAAAGAAGACGACCCTTGATTTAGGGACAATTCGGCAGGGTGAAAAGGAGGGGCTTCGTTCATACATCAGGCGATTCAACCTGATGAGAATCCAAATTCAAGGGCTACCAGATGAGGTAGCCTACACTGATTTTATCAGAGGTCTCAAGGATGGGTCAACCTTTAAGTTTGACCTAGTTCGAAAGAGGGTTGCGTCTCTCCAAGAAGCTTTGATTGAAGCGGAAGCCTATATACAGGCGACTTACCTCTGCAATACTACGAAGCAGTCGGACGGACGGAAAGAAAAAAGAAAGCCGGCCAAAGCAGTCGGCAAACAAAGATGAGAAAATGAGAAAAGAAGTTTGGGCGGCCGATTCCTCTAAACAACCGGCCTAGAAAAAGAAAAAAGAGTTCAAACCATACTCTCCGAAGTATGCGTTCAGCAAGGATAGCCAAGCTATCCTCAAAGAAATCAAGGGCCGGATCTCAATCGAGAAGCCGACCCCTATGAAAGGTTCTGCAAGCAATCGGAAACAAGACAAATTCTGTCATTATCATGAAGATGTTGGCCATGAAACCAACGAATGTATCAGCCTCATGCGCTACCTGGACTGCCTGGCTGAACAAGGCGACCTTGACTCCTATGTCAAGAAGTCTAAGGGGAACACTTCCTCAAAACACAAGCAGTCGGCCAAAAAGAATCATCAACGAGCCGACAGTTCTGATACAGATGATGCAGTCGTTTACACTATTGCAGGCGGCTTCTCAGGAGGCGGCCCCACTATTAGGGGAAATAAAGACAATATCAAGCGGCTAGATGTTAATTCCATTCATCAGGAACAGACCGCCAAAAGTTCATTCCTAGAGATTGTCATCACAGAAGAAGATCTGGGAGGGGTTAAAGGGTCGCATGATGACCCAATTGTTATTGAGTGCAAAGTGGCCAACCAAAGAGTTGGCCGAATCCTCATAGATACCGGTAGCTCCTCTAATATTATCAGCAGCAAGTGCCTGGCAAAGCT